ACAAAGGCATTTAACATCTATCGCAATACTAAAGCTATTAAGAATTTGAACCATTCTAACAAATCTCACTACATTGCCATATACGTTTTTAATCACTGTCTGCCCACTACTCCAATATGGCAGTAAATAAAGTTCACTTCATATCCTGGTCCTTAGCACACAGATTCCTTATTGCTGATGAATTACTCAATATACAGTTAAGGTTTGACACCAATAAGAGCTAAATTCTCTTTCAGTATCAGAATGATATCAAGTACACCTACTATTAAGGTGTACTATTAACTCCAGTGGCTCTCAACTTGAGAACATTTTGAAACATCTGAAAATAACCACAGAGTGCTACTGGCATCTAGTGGATGGTGGCCAGGGATGCTGCTGAACAACCAAGAGCACAAAAAGCAGCCTACCAGAAACTGGAGGCAGAAACAATGTTACCAGTTCCAAGAAGGAGAAACTATTCCAAAGATAACAGGAGAAAATGTACCACAGACTCACTCTGACTATCTAGATGTAGTTCCTGTGCAGAGGCTAGTGAAGCGTGGCCATTTTCCCAGCCTCCAAAATTTAGCATTCAGAAAACTTCAGGACCATGCCTTGGAGGGCAGAGGTACATGTGCTACACCTTGCCTTCCATTAACATCTCCCATGATCCGCTTGCATCATCACAAAATGGTGAAGACAGACAGTCTTGTCTTTTGGATGAGCTGGATGTGCCAGACTTGCACTATGCTGCAAGTTCTGCTAAAAGTGTTTTTAGGGAAGTAGTTCAGTTTTCAGGGAAGTCATTAGATAGCTTTGAATATCACCAGTTATCCAAACTAGTGCAGCCTCATGCTCATATATAATTGAAGGTTGGCTCTGTATGTAGCAGAAATGCAGATGTTTCATCAAGAGTTTTACAGCCTGGAATAAACAATCCAAGCTCCTGGCAGTCATGTTTGGAGCCTGGAATAGACATTCCAGGCAGTCAAGGTAGAGCTGAGTTTATCACTTGATAGAAGAAGTTCTTAGATGTCTGTCACTCAGCCTAAGAAGAGTATGCAAATATGTCTAAAGTGAGAACTAATTAGCACAGCCTCTCAGAGGAGGTGACTGTGTCATCCAATCATAAGTCACATTAATACATATGTTACTGACCTAGATTCTAACAAAGGGGAAGTCCGTGAGCTATAGTGGAGTTAGGAGGATCAAGTCAGGCCTGACCAAGACCTCACATCTGGTGCCAGACCAAACTGGCTGCATGTTAAGCAGCAGCAGCCACTACAGTCTAACTCACCCCAGGGGTCCCAGAGGATCTAGATTTCCCACTTTAGCAAAGACTGAGCAAGTACTGCTACTTGTTTTAATTGCTATTACTAATACAGTAGTCTAAGTCTGTATTTCTCCTTGGATGTCCACATAGAAGATAGAAAGCTAAATCAAAGTCAAACATACATCCATTTTAAACATTTTTAGAAACTGTTAAAAAAAAAACAGAGGTTCTCTATGGACTGGTACTTGGAAGATAACCAGAAAAACTACAGGTATCCAACACCATTCAGGACTTTAGAACCTAGACCCAAAAACTGTCATATACACTCACAAGTGCACATGCAAATGCATGGCCCTTCCTTTAGAAAATGCTGGTTATGCCATCTGCCTCGCAAGTGCAAGGACCCAAGTTCGATTCCCAGTACCAAAAAAAAAGAAAAAGAAAAAGAAAAAAAATGCTGGCTAACTGAATTCTAAAGACAAGACTCCAGAAAAATTAAGAAGTGCTTGTAGGCAATGCCCAAGCCCACACACAAGAACAGGCTACCCCATATATTCTTGAAGTAGGGTAGCACTGGCTTGGAGTTGAATAGGTCTAGTTTAAATGCTGTTTGGTCACATACTAATTACACTGTCCTTGATTAGAGTGACTTGACTATTTCAAGCATCAGTTTCCTCACCTGTAAAATGGGGATAATAGTGACTCATTAGCAGGCTCAATTATGTTGCCAAAGAGCTTAGGCAACCCATGATTCCCAGTGAGCTCTCATCTCATGCATCTTGGTATCTGTACCTATACCTCTCTCTCTCTCTCAAAACTCCCACCCTCTCCTCCTTTGCCTGCCTAATGCCAACTCATTTATCAGTCTTCATTAATGCATGCTCCAGAAGGCTGCCTGATACCTGCATTCGTGAAGCCAGACAAGTACACCATCTGTTCCTGTGCTTCCTCCTTCAATGACAACCTTTATTGCACTTGAACTAACTCTGTTTGGCTTCCCCCTAGCCTGGCAACTTCCTAAGAGTTCTCTGTGACTGAAATATTTCCACAGTTCCTGCAAGCATGTTCTAAAGGACTTGGTGAGAAATGAACCAAAGGTTTGGCAAAGGAAAAAAGATACGGGATGTTCAGGAGTTATGGGTTACAATGTACCTTAGAACATACGGTTTCAGTAAAGGAAACAGTAACATCAAATGCTTCAGAGAAGTTTAAAAAAAAAAACAACTGAAAAAAAAAAGACCATAGACTTCTAAATTGGGTTCCTAGTGACTTCTGAGAAGTGTTTTGAGTGTCAAACATGAAATGGTCAGGACAATGAAGAAAGAAAGGGGGTTCCTTCTTCTGGGTAGTGAGATTAGCACTGACTGTACCTATTGGGGCATAAGCCAGACAAGGGGTTTGGGGAGGACAGATCAGGGTAAGACAGGCGCTGTGAGGTTCGAACAGGGAGCCAGGTAGAAGGATTTCTGAGAAACAGGGAGTGTGGTCAGTTAAAGTCTCTGTAAATAGGGAAGGATGGAGGGGGTGAAGGGAGAGCAGATTTATGGGGAAAAAAATAAGAACTAAGATACACCATGTAAAGGTACAAGATCCCAACAAGGAATGTAACTGTATTTTATACCTAAAATGTACCAATAAACTTCATGAAAATTTAAAAAAAATAAATCACAAAAAAAGAAGAGTAACTTCTGCGAAACCACTTGCCATGGTTACAATGACCTTTTTTCCTGGACAGGTCTCTATTTTAAAACAGAGAATAGTGCTTACCTACCCCTAAGGAGTCACAGTGTTGAAAGACAAAGGCGGGGCCCAAGGTCAAGGTCCAAGTTCTGAAATATCTATCCCACTATGGAATGAAAAAGACTAGGAGCCTAATAAAAGATGTTAAATAATACTATTAAATAAATTACTATTTATTAAGTATTTAAGTATTTATTTAAAAGAAAAAAAGAAATGTACGTATTTATCATACATCTATTGCATTTTCTATTGGTATAAGAATAGGCTAGAAAACAAAGGTCTCAGGAACCTTGAATTGAAAGTTTTCATGTCCAGAGTAGAAGGAGAGAGAAGGAAATACCAGCACTGTTCCTTTATAAGCACTGGGTAGAAACCAGAGGAAAGAGGTTCATCATTGATTGAGGACTGATAAAGGATGATCTGAAAGTAAACCATTTCCACATACATTTTTTCTAATTTTGAAATATTTCAAAGACACAAAAGTAAAAATATAAAAACTACTAATAAAAAATTTAAAAAAATTTTTGAAACTAATATTGTTAACACCAATTCACTAACCACTGGTATGAACAGCAATTCAAGTTGAACATCCCTAATCCAAAAATCTAAAATCCAAAATGCTCCAAAATCTGAACTTTTTGAGCACCAACACAATGTACAAGTGGAAAACTCCACAGGTGATCTTATGTGATGGGTCAGTCAAAACAGAAGAATATGGGCTGAGGATTTAGCTCAGTGGTGCTGCAGCTGCCTTACAAGCGCAAGGTCCTGAGTTCAATCCCCAGTACCACAAAAAAAAAAAAAAAAACAGACGCATACTAACACTATTGTATAAAATAAAATGACTTTTGGGCTATATGTGTAAGGTGTACATAAAACATAAAACATAAATGAATTTTGTGTTTATACTTTGTCTCATCACAGGTATCTCATTATGAATATGCAAATATTGCAAAATCAAAAAATATCCAAAATTTGAAATACTTCTGGTCCCAAACATTTCAGATAAGAGATAACCAAACTGTGTTAGGCATATTTGATTCAAAATTTAATAAATAAATGGAGGTGCTGAAGGCCATCCACCACTCAACCCCCCACCCTGCCCCGCCCTTACTCATACTTCTCTCTGCAAGAGTAAGCCATGCTCTGGAGTGAGTACATCATCCCCTACAAGCACATGTTCAGTACTGCCCTGGATCACACACATTATTTCTCCACAGAGCACTTAACCTCTTTTGTTTCTAAAAAAGAATCTCATGATCTTTCAGGAATATTCCAGGTAAATGTAAAATGATCACTGTCACTTATTTTCAAGCAAGTTTCTGTAAAAATATCTATTTACATTCCTATGAAACAACAAGTTGGGATGATTATGATGAAATCTGTAAGGATTTCTCTAAGAAAGAATCAAGATTTCAGGGCCTACTACAAGATAATTTTTTTTCCTATCTGGAGTCAGAACTACAAGAAAAAGAAAATCATGTTTCACCTACTTCACCATTTAGTACTTACTAAACACCTACCTCCTCTGCATATGGGGGCGGCCACTCAGAGTGGACCTTGGACCAGAGTGTACATGTCAAACTTCAGACCTTTAGAATCTCAGTGTTTATTTTAGCAAGCTGATATGCATGCATATTAAAGCCCAAGAAGTGCTGGTTTAAAGAATTTAGAAAAACAACAGCCTAGGGCCGGGGATTTAATTTAGTGGTTCTCCCACCTCCCTTGCAAGGGCAAGGACGCGAGCGTGATCCCCAGTACCAAAAAAAAATTTTTTAAAAACAGCCTAAAGCAAGGCAGAATCAAATCCAACCATCAATCAGCCAAATTTATCTTCTCCTATCAGACAGTGTGGCTAAGCCCTCAAGAACTAGTAGAATAAAACAACAATAAATGTATATAATGAAATATTTTACAACTATACAAGCTGCATTTTAAAAGTATGAAAATACTGCAATAAAAGTCTGCTGCTCTTTTAATTTACTTCTTCACTGTCATCCTATAACAGAATCCTTAAAGACGAAACATTTTGGCCACTTGGAGATGACAAGCACTCACTGGGATAAAATACTTCACTGAAAGAAGATTTCACTTTATGAAAAAACAAAATTAAAAGGTAACTGAAAAAATCCATCAAGCATTATAAAGAGCTTTATTAATTTCATCAAAATGCTATAAAGATATAATTTCTCTTCTTCAGACAAAGAATTATGTATGAGTAGGATGGTGGAAGGTGGGCCATATATAAAAGAAAAACAGGTCAGTAAAGATAAATACACAGAAAATGAAAGATGAACTCAGAGCTGACTAAGCATGTTTTTGTTAAGATGAATGAACTTCTGAGATAGACACTGCTTCAGACAGGCTTGTATCAATTACATTCTGTCCAAAAAGAGACCCCTGATGTTGTATACACTCTACCATGAAAACACGATGCAGAACAATCCTATGACCTTATGCTGCACTAAGGGACAAGTGTACTCACTATCTAGATCAGATTAAATCCTTGGCACTGGCATTCTTTCTAGCTGGGAGAAAGTGAGGGAAAGCAGTCTACAGGATGCTCCTATTACACTTGTCTTTGAGTCTCATAAATCCTATTCTGCCATATTGTTTATGTTACCAAAGACTCCAACATGACAGTAGTCACAGGCTGAGGCATTCTGTGCCATTCACTCACCTAAACTCATGAAACAAGGAGGAGTTCCACCTAAGAGAAACTGAAAATTTACTCTGTTTAAGCACCCCTTCTTAAGAAGATTAAGAACACAAAGAAATGTTTCTTAAATATAATTTCAGGTATTCAGTAAACACTTTTTGCATTCCTAAATCCTCAAAGTTAACATAATGACCACTTTCACTACAAAAATTCAGTGATGTCAGAAATAACTATCATAGGCAAAACCCCCAAAACCCTGGCTCACCAAAGGTCCGCTTTTTCTTTTTTTCAGTTGATGATCATTACCTAGTCCTTTTCATCTTTTACCATTTCTTCTCCTGCCATTCTCTCATTAATGGGCTGAGATAAGCTGGTAAGAAACAGTGAACTAACTGAGATTTGGGGGCAAGGAGGGAGAGTCAATTGGCCATACCAAGACAGTCTCCATTTCCATTGTGACTTATCTGAGCCTTAAAAGAACTTCTTTGTCGCAAATTTCTCAACTGAGCCTAGTTCTGCTCTGCCCTGTAGAAGAGGCCATGCACTCAGACAACTGAACTCATAGGATACACTAACACCTTGCTATAAAAACTTTTTAATATTTAAGAGCTGAAAATTTATTACCAGCCAGGCATAGTAGCATATGTCTGTAATTTCAGCACTTAGGAGGCAGAGGCAGGAAGACTGCAAATTCAAGGCCACCCTAGACTGCAGAGTAAGATCCTGTCTCAAAAAAAGAAAAGAAAAACTGAAAAAAAAATTACTATCAAGAATGTCATTTATCTGGAATTTAATTTAAATGGAATTTATCTTTAGCTCACTCATTACTCATGTAGAGCGTTCCTTTAAAATGAACCCATTTGCCCAGCCATGAGTCACTGCTGTATTAAAACAGACAATATCACAAGCAGAAAAGATACTATCTCTAAGTTCTTTAAAACAGCCAAATTAGCAGGAAAGCACTTGGGGGAAGGACTCAAGCAAGCTGTGGTATTCCCATCATTTCTAAACCAGAAGTTTACCTCCCAACAAAAGGAAGGTGGTGGAAGATAGTGCTGGGGATCAGAAGAACTTGTATGTGCAGATTCACAGCACTTTGAGGACGCTGAGAGCACTATTCTGGACCTATAACACCATCACAAGCAGACATACTGCAGCTAGAAATTGTGTGAGCCAGGCACTCTAAGAGACTGAGACAGGAAGACCCCAAGTTCAAGCCCAACATGAACAACCAGACTTTATAAGACCTAGTCTCAAAATAAAAAATAAAGTAAAATAAAATGGGTTGGGGACATAGCTCTGTGTGAAAACCCTGGGTTCAATCCCCAATACAGTGCCCCCCCTAAAAAGGCAGTCCTAACAACCTGACAAAATGAATTTACACAGGCTTCTATAATAATAAAGGAATTGTGTCATTCATTAAATCACTTCTGGGAAGTCCTCTATTTATATCACGTAGTGGCTTCTGTAATATTCCAAAAGGAAAAAATTTGGCTATCATTAAATCATTTATTTCTAGGAAATTCTTCACAATTTTAACTATATAACTACACATGATAAATAACCAAAATACAATGAATGCTTAAATATTTTAATATTTTATCACGGTAAAAGAAACATTGCCATTAATTGCCCCCAAAATACCCTCACTTCAAACACACTTGTCCTGCTCATTCTTGCCACTTTCTGGAGCAGTTCTCAAAGTCCTCTTTCCTGTCTTTACTTGTGCTGTTGTAGTTGCCTCGATGTCCTAAATTGATTCAAAACATTTACCCTTTTCAGTCATTTTGAAAGAGCCAGAAGTCACCTGATGCCAGATTCAGAGAATAAGGCAGATAAGGACACACTGTAAAGACTATATTAAATAAGTATTTCCTAGAACTCTGGTGTTTTATAGCAAACCATTGTCATTTTAGAGAAATTCTGGTTTCTGAATTGAAGTTCTCACATAGTCCTGTATCTCCAATTTTTCTTTATTTTCATCTGTCTGCTCTGTTCTTCCCTTTCTATCCTCCCCAACAAAAAAAAAAAAAAGAAGGAAAAAGTAAGGAAGTAATGAACTAAGAAGAGTGAAAGGGTGGAGGGCAGGGGGGGGAGACAGGAAGGAACGAAGGGCCAAATTTATATGGAGTAAAATGCTTTAAGAACTTGGTGGGTTTGACTACATTCACTGACTTTCTCTTTATTACTCAACAAATGACATGGAGGCCATAAGGTGACCTCTGAGTATAAAGTGACCTTTGAGTAACTAGTCCACACCTCTTTCCAGGCCTCTGCCTTGAGCAGTTACAAGATGCTCAACTCGACCACCACACAGCCTCCAGACCTGCCCTGCTCGAAGAACACACTGATCACTCAGCAAATCATCCCTGTGCTGTACTGCGTGGTCTTCATCACTGGAATACTACTCAATGGAGTATCAGGATGGGTCTTCCTTTACGTGCCTAGCTCAAAGAGCTTCATCATCTATCTCAAAAACATTGTTGTGGCTGACTTTCTAATGGGCCTGACTTTTCCTTTCAAGATCCTTGGTGACTCAGGCCTAGGCCCCTGGCAGCTGAACGTGTTTGTATGTAGGGTCTCTGCCGTGCTATTCTATGTAAACATGTATGTCAGCATCGTGTTCTTTGGACTCATCAGCTTTGACAGGTATTACAAAATCGTAAAGCCCCTTTCGACTTCTTTCATCCAGTCAGTAAACTACAGCAAACTGTTGTCAGTGGTGGTGTGGATACTCATGCTCCTGCTTGCTGTCCCCAACATCATACTGACCAACCAGAGTGTTAGAGAGGTTACAAAAATACAATGCATGCAACTTAAAAATGAACTGGGTCGCAAGTGGCACAAAGCATCAAACTATATCTTCGTGGGCATTTTCTGGGCTGTGTTTCTTTTGCTAATCATTTTCTACACTGCAATCACAAGGAAAATCTTTAAGTCCCACCTTAAGTATAGAAGGAATTCCATTTCAGTCAAAAGGAAATCTAGCCGCAATATATTTAGCATTATGATCGTATTTTTTGTATGTTTTGTACCATACCACATTGCTAGAATCCCCTACACAAAGAGTCAAACTGAAGCTCATTACAGCTGCCAGTCAAAAGAACTCTTGCTCTACGTGAAAGAATTCACTCTGCTACTATCTGCTGCAAATGTATGCCTGGACCCTATTATTTATTTCTTTCTATGCCAACCATTTAGAGAAATCTTATGTAAGAAACTGCATATTTCACTAAAAACTCATGACTTGGCCACTTTCAAAACCAGAAGGGGAAATATAATTCATGAAAGCACAGATACTTTGTGAATTCCCACCCCTTCAAACTAAAGTCCATACATACATGTTGTCTGTCATCTTCAATCACATAACTGAATAAGCCAATAAGAAACATACCTATGATAGTATACTACCATTATTACCCAGTACTCATAGTAAAATTAATATACTTATCACAATAAAATTCAAATGCAAGTTTCCATGCTTTTCTGTAGCATCAAATTAAAAACACCATTAGGAGATTTTTCTAATATTGCACTTGTTTTTCTTTCTAATAAGAAGAAAAATATAATGTACACAATTATTCAATCACACTCCAAAATAGCAGGTTTAAATTTATAATAATGAATTTGTTCAGTTAAAGTAGAACTTAATAAACAAACATATCAGAGACAATTTACATAGGTTTCTTCTTTCTCTAAAGACAAGAATTAAATTAGTAAGACACAATCTTTTTCAACTGGGTCCCCAAAGATCAACTTAAAAGCAGGCACTGTTTGATAAAGGGATTTTTGTGTCAGAAAATAAAATCAAATTTTTGGGCCCGGGGATTTAGCTCAGTGGTTTTGCCGCCTGCTGCGCAAGCTCAAGGACCCAAGTTCGATCCCTGGTACCAAAAGAAAAAATAAATAAATATATAAAATTTCCTCTGATTTAAAGCAGGATAAGCAGATAGGCAGAAAAAAAACTTTAACAAAAAAACCATACTGATTTATCTCACTGCATTTCAAAGAAAATATAATACATTATTACTTTGCAATAAAAATTTAATTTTTTAAGATATTAGGTATATGTTAAATATATCTTACATGCAGACTTATTAAGACATTTAATAAGCCTAAAGTTGTCACACTAAAATATTTTTAAGTGGATTCTACTAAGAGAAGCTGCATATCAGCATGTGTTGCCAGCAATTTCTCTTGCTCAAATGTATGAGGAGGGAAATAAGATGACCATGAAAAAGACACACACTAATACATATTCTTCTCTTATGAGGTCAGAGGAGATAATTTTCTCAGAAACCAAGTAGACTGAAGTGGACTCAATTAAAAAAAAAATCTATAATGTAAAAGAATGTGTGACATTACACATAAAAATTCATGAATCATGTTTTCTGTAAAGCCAATGCATTTCAATACATGGAGATGAGGGATACGGTTGCTGGTAAATGAGTTAACAAAACCAACTTCTTTCTCTACTATTTGCTGGCTAGAAGACATTCGGCTAGTCTTTCAAATGATCTTCCTAAACATTTTTGTAAGTAAAATTTGTATCTATTTTATGTTTTACTATATATATATATATATATATATATATATCAATAAAAATTATTTTAATGCTGTCAGCTTTTTTTTTTAAAGAGTAATCAATGTATAAGGTGATACTACCAGACTTCCTTATAGTCAATACGTGGACAGCTTCTTTAATATGCCCAGTTACACACTAATACAAGAAAATACAAAAACTCCACTTGCCACCTCAAAACAGTTTCAGCAAAGCTCAGAAAAACGCATCCAAAACTGAGGAGAGGCTGGGAAGGTTCTCACCTTGGGCATTTACTTTCTACCTTCCAACAACTCTCTGCTCCCAATGGTGGCTCAAATAAATTATCTCAAAAAGAACAAAAACTGCCAAGCTACAACAGATATCCTTAAAAACTAAGCTTGCTATATTTATTTGGCTAAATACACTTGGAAACAAATTTGATTGTGTTTACATGTTACATCACTCACTGGCTAGAGCAAATAAATAAATCATAGGATTTTAAATTCCCCATACTGGGCCACAGGAGAAAGTGAAAGTTAAAAAAAAAAAAAAGATGAGTCTTCTTTCTGGGATTACTTGGGTCATCTCCTCAGCCTCTATTCCTCTTTTCTCAGCAATAAATATTATTAAAACTTTTCCCTGTAGCACCAAGTAATGATGTTTGTAAGCTCTATACCAAAGCAGATTAGTAATGTGAAAACAAGGTATTTCAGGAAATGACATACAGTGCAGACAAGGAGACTGTGAAGCAACAACAGCTGAGTAACAATCACTGTATACTAGAACTTTTAGTTCCACAGCAATAACTAAAACAAAATGGCAGGCATTGCCAAAAATGGAGTAAGTAAGAAACTTCTGAGATGACCAACACTACTGTCGGTAGACAACAGAGTATATTTTCCAAGTCCTTTGGAAATAAATCTGTAGCACAGATGCTGCAATATTCAGAGCGCCCAGCTCAACCTACACGATGCCTGCAGTGGCAGAGAAGGCAATGTAGACACTGTTCTTTAAAAAAAAACAGAAGCTGAGCACAGTAAGCTGAGAGCTTATGCCTCACCAAGAGAGGCCAACAGCCCTTAGCTCCAGCCAACGGCTTCCTTATTCTCACAAGAGATGAAAAGTCACAGTTTGTGTTTCTTTATGTGGTACTGGGAATTGAACCTGAGCCTTCCCAATGAACTACATCCCTGCCCTACTTTTTTTTTTTTTTTAAAGCCATGGTTTCACTAAGTCACTAAGTTGCACAGGCTGAGCTCCAACTTGCGATCCTCCTGCCTCAGCCTTGAAGAGGCTGGGGTTATACCATTTTAATTGCTAGATCCGTAACTAAAACATATCTATGATACAATATGATATGCCAACAGCTGCACTGAAACACCTGAAATACAGAAATGTAATAGAAATGTGTTCAGAAATAGCCTATGCCTAAAACCAAAAATCTCCCTTATTAACAATCATGTTTTCTTTACCAGAATTAATTTTTCTTTAACAGAATCCATTTTGATTTATACTTGATAAAGCTACCTATACAAAAAATTTCAAAGTGTTTGTATAAAAGGAATTTTGGGGGCAAAAAAAATTAAGAAATAGATCACAGAAAGATCACAATCATGGACAACAACCACATATGACACCTATCCACTGAGGGGTGAGCCATGCACAAAGGTGTTTTACAAAATATAGTCATTAGTGGTGCTCAACTGTTGAGTTATGTTCTCAACCAACATTGTCTTTTCTCAGCAATACAGTAAAACTTTTCCTTGGGAAAACTCACTTTTGCCTGTTCTGGGCCATACAGCTGACACAGATTTGAATTAGATTTGCTAATCACCATGTCTGAATTCACTGACCAAAGACTGAGATGGAACACAACCCAGTTTGATCCAATAAGAACAAGTCCCAGGTTCCTCAACAAATTTTCTGGAAGGAGTAGTGTAAAGATGTATTTCTTTCATTTGGATACTATAAGAAGAAAGTCTATAGGGCCAGGGATTTAGCTCAGTGGTTCTGGTGCCTGCCTCGCAAGTGTAAGGTCCCAAGTTCAATCCCCGGCACCAAAAAAAAAAAGAAGAAAGTCTATAGCATCCTAAGAGTTGACACTAATACTAGAAAAGGCAAATTGGAGAAATGGTACAAACCCAGGAGTAGTTCCATAGCTGAGGGTCTGCAACAGCCCTCCCCTAAAGCCATACCTACAACTGTGGATATTCAGGTATGTTGGCCAGTAAATATCTTATTGCATATGCTCTATTTTAACTGTATTGGAAAAGGGGGCCAGGGCTGGGAGGGCACACCAATAAAGGGGAAACTCTTGATACACTGGCTTCACCTAAAATAGTAACTAAAATCATTACTAAAACAGATTCTAGAAACTCTAGAAAAAAACTCTTACACTAAACTTTGTCTCTACTTGATGTTAGTAAAGTATTTACCATTACTTCTATACAGTATTTTGTCCTTAAACTTACTGTTGCCATATAATCTTTTTACTAACTCTGGATAAAAAGAGACAAAAAAAAGATGTCTATACAAAAAATTAACTATGTAAACATCAAAAGATAGTATTATACAAATTATAAATATAGATATGAACCAGAAGAATTGCAGGGGACATCTTTCAGGTGAGTAGCACTGCAAGGGTCCAATTGGCATGGGAGAAAACAGGTACTGTATTGTTTTCAACAAAAAAGCCACGACTTCTTTTTGGTCACTTATTCTCTGCAAAACTCAACTGCAAATGGATTACCATTTATGACAAGACATCCCTGCAAATGAACTACTGTAATGAAACACAAACTTCCTTTTATCATATGCCACTTTTCAAAATGCTATAACCCCTTCATAGCACTACTTGTACAAAATTATTAAATGTTTTACTAATTATCTGTAGTATATACTAGAACCATTATTTCTAAAATAATTACAGAAAAGGAACAAATTATTACACAAATAAAGTGCTTACCAAAGCAGTTTTGTGAGTTACAGGGAATATAAAATGTTGCTCTGTTACTACCTCCTCATCCAATTGAAGCTGGGGTATGAGAATGGAGTGGGATTAGAGGAACAGAGCCATCTGAACAACAAAATACAAGGCAAGCATTCTTACTGATAAACCTGTGAGACTACTCACTTTTTGAAGGCCCACACTGTGTAACCCTGTGTAAGTTAAGGCTGGTGACACTAGTAGGCTGATAATAGAACATATTTACCCTCTCGATCTACTGTAAGCATTCACAGCACTTCAGATTAGTATGTGAGAAGTGGGGAGAGGTGACTTGGGAAGATCATTTTAACTGTTATTGTGACCATGGGAAAAGCCATACAATTATACACCACCCACACCATAGCATAGCTGTTGAACCTCTACAGTGATTCCCAACCACTCAACCCCTCCCAAATAATTTCAGATCCTCTGTCTCTTCCTAAAACAACTGCAATCATTCCTTAAGTAGCTTCTTATCTTCTATTTTTCTCTCCTAACCCAAGAGGCCACCCATGCTACCAAATTTTACCTAGTACTGCTGAATTGACAGTTCTTTCCCTGCATAGCCCTCATAAGCTCTCTATTGGTTGCTTACTACAGTCCTTAGAAGCACCCATGATTTGGATCTCAGTTTTTTTGCTTGCATAGATCCTACTCAGACAACCCAAATTCCTAGATTGCCTGATAAGCCCCAAACACACTCCCTCTACCCTAAGCATCTACGTTGTCACCCAAAATACCACCTTTTGGCTCAATCTACAGAAGCATCCCTTGACTCCTCTGCCTTAGTAAAAAGAATTAGACTTCCTAGATTCCCACAGGTTCTAATAGCATGAAGTAAATCTGCATCATTGCCATTTGAGGAATATGATTCTGTATCACCCTTCTACAACATGTCCTTCAAAATTTAACAAAAATATTCTTTATGATGGGAGAGCTCAGGAGACAGCCTGAATCAATAAATTCTTGCTCTTTGAATTTTTCATTTATACTTGATCAAAAAGAAAGAGTCACATGGCAAGATAGAGAAAATTTCTCTCAACCATCTCTTGGAAAGTAAATACAGAGTTTACAAAATGTGCTCTGTGCTTTGAAAATATGTAAGTCACAATAAGCTCATCACAAATGAACATAATCAAAAAGGGAAAAGAAAGCATGAACTTCAGTAACTAAAAAATAATAATAATAATAATAACCTTTGAACATTCTAAGGAATTCCCCACCACCACCAAAGATTATTTTATAAACATACATCAAATAGCAGTCACAACTGAAAAATAACACAAAATGCATATGAACCCCAAAACACTGCAGTCAATTAAAAGAAAACCAAGAGGATTGGCAGAGGGAAGGACAGGAGAATATGTTCAGCCACTATTTCAGCTCACTCACAGCCCAAAAATGAGCAACAACTTTTAGCTTCAAAGAATTTCCAGAATTCTACTATGTCATTAAAGAGGTAAAAATGAAGCAGAGTGTAATAATACAGAAACAGCAGTATCTTGGAAGTTGTACATCAACATCTTACTTCAAAACTATTTTGCTTAATCACATGAAGCCAGCATCATGGAAAAGTCCCAGGCTAATCCAGGAGAAAGGAAATTACTTACGCACTTTAAAAACTTTTCAAAATGCAAAACTACAACACAGTGCCTCCAAAGAAAGAGCTGACTTTGAAACACACAGGCAGCTGCACAAGTGAATGATCATAAAAATCTTCAAGACTATAACAGTTTGAGCTGAGAGCATCCTAAGTTCTCATCCTGGAGGTTGCAAACTCCATGAGGAAGGTAGAAATAGTGGCACACTGTCTAACAGCATTCAAGTTCAAGTAGTCACTCACACTAATTCAATGAGGAGACCTGCACTGATGTGATAACCTCCTTTGTAATCAGTGTCCCTATCCAACACTTAAATTCCAAGAAGAGAACTAAAAGGTATCCCACATGCTGCTCATGGTGGTGCACACCTATAATTTATAAATAAATTAAGC